GGACGCCGCCACAGCATGGCCTGACAAGTGGTGCCTCGGTGTGCACCTGGAATCCGAACCCAGGCCGCCAGCAGCAGAGCTCGTACACCTAATCGCCACACCACAGGGCTGGCCCCCATAATGATCTTTGTGTGTGTGTGTGTATGAGGAAGGTCAGCCCTGAGCTAACATCCATGCCAATCCTCCTCTTTTTGCTGAGGAAGACTGGCCCTGAGCTAACATCTATTGCCAATCCTCCTCCTTTTTTTTCCTTCCCCTTTTTCTCCCCAAAGCCCCAGTAGATAGTTGTATGTCATAGTTGCACATCCTTCTAGTTGCTGTATGTGGGACGCGGCCTCAGCATGGCCGGAGAAGCGGTGAGTCAGTGCGCGCCCGGGATCCGAGCCCGGTTCGCCAGTAGCAGAGTGTGCGCACTTAACCGCTAAGCCATGGAGCCAGCCCCATAATGATCATTTTTAACAATCACGTAGTATCACACGAAATAGACAGACTATAGCTTACTTAACCGTTTCCCTGTTGTGGGGCATTTGGGACATTTCCAGCATGTAGCTGATCTGAAAAGTGCTGCTATAAACATCTTTGCCCAAATTGCTTGTTACACTCTTTGGGACTATTTTGAGCAAGGGCATTTGTGGGAAGCAGACGAAGGAAAAGTCCCTGGAATTTTCACTTCTCCTTGGACAGGTGCTCTTTTTTTAGAATCGGCTTTTGGCATCCTGCAATGTGCAAGTAACACAGCTGCCAACAGCTGGATGATCTTGGGTAAGTTCCTCCATCTCTCTGTGCCTTGGACTCTTGCTATTTAAAGTGTGGTTCTTGGACAAGTAGCATTTGCTGGGAGCTTGTAGAATTACAGGATCTCAGGCCCTTCCTAGCACCTAGAGAATCAGAATCTGCAGTTTAAGAAGCTCTCCAGGAAGTGGTTCATGAGCACATTAAAAGTTGGAGAAACCATGCCTTAGAGTACTCATCTGTCCAACAGGGATCATCAAGGTCCTTCCTCATAAGGTCGTTGTGAGGACTTAATGCATTAATATGTATACATAAAGCATATAGAAGAGCGCCAGGCACATAGTAAGTGCTATGTGTTTGCTACTTTTATGACTCTCCCCAGCTGGTCGAGCAAATTCTCAGACTGGCAGTTCCCTAAGTAGGGGTCCTGCAAGAGAACAAATAAGGGAGATTTTCCCCTGGTGGTGTGAACAGGGAGTGGAGGGGACAACCTTGCAACACGCTTTCTCACCCATCATGATCAAAGTCCCTAAGACAAGCCAGATCCAGTCCCAGGGAGCTGACGAGTGAGTCTTAAAGTGCTTTGGGCAGGAAACAGGACAGGGGGGCAGCCAGGTAAGAACTGACATTTCTGGCACCTGAGCGGCTACACCGATGGGGATGGCCAGCCCATGCCACCCACAGAAGGGCTTGTGAATAACGCACATGGGGTCCTGATCCCACAGAGCGAACAATCCCTTAGATTTGCAACCTGACTGCTGGCCAGCCTGCAGATAAGGTGCACCTGCCCAGATCTCCCTGGGGGCAGGGCCAGCCTCTTCTGACCCTGGGCAGCCTGGGGCAGATGGACTCACTTGGATTGAGCAACTACAAGCAGAGGTGAAGGGGCATCTTCTTCGCAAACCCTCTGCTTGCGAAGCTCTGTGTTTTCTTTTGGATCCTACTAACCCCAATTAAATAAACCGTTTTCTGTTTTACCACCACTTGAGTGGTTTACCTGTTTTTGCAATCTCCATGACACTTCATACTGGGAGTCTCAAATTTGAATGTCTCTAGGGACCACACGTTACATAAATACGTGAGGTAGGCTGGGGCGACACAACTGAGCATGGTGAGGACTGTGGCAACCGGCAAGCTCCCTGTGAAGAGGATATCTGTTACTCTTTTCCAGCCCATCGCCATGCAGGAATGTGAGCCTAGTGTGACCAGATCTTTCCATTTTTCAAGAGAAAGTAAAAGTCTGGATTTTTATGTTAAATCGTCTTCTTTTTCTTAATTTAAAAACTTTTACGTAAATGTTTATAGCGCCTTTATTCATAATTGACCCAAACTGGAAATAACCCAAAAGTCCCTCAACTGGTGAATGGATAAAGAATGGATAAGCAAACTGATCCCTCCATGCAATGAAATACACTCAGAAAAAAAAAAGGAATGAACTAGCAATACACACAATCACCATCCGAATCTCAAATGCATTATGCTGACTTCTGCTTCTGGCCAAGATGCAGTAATATAGGCCAGATTTATCTTCTCACCTGAAATAATCAAAAACTGCAGAAAATATATATGAAATGATATTTTTCACTCAAGACACTGGACATCAGTCAATGGAGGATAGTGATCCCTGAAAGACAGGAAACAAATGGGGTTAGTCCTACGATTGCCCTAGCTTATTGTCTTGAGAGAGATTCTAGGCCATGGCGCAGGGAAGGGGACCCCAGATGGGGCCTGGCAGATGCCCTGAGTTGAGAAGACAGAGCTGAGAGTCCAGGGGGACCAAGGAGGTTAGAGTTCTAGAGAGGAGACAGATGCACACAGAGAATTCCAGAGGTCTCCAAAGAGTCCCCTCCAGGAGTCAGCTGAGCACTGGTCACCACAGGATACAAGGACAACTATCTGCGACGAGGGAAAGAACCATCTGAAATGATTACAGGTAGGAGTGGATGGCACTCACACAGGCCCAGGAACAGTGCCTGCTCCCGCCAACCAGACTGGAAGACCTCATGATTCATGGGGCATTGGTCTGGCCTCAGGAGTGGGGAAAAATGGGCTCCAGACTGAGCACTGTTTGAGTCCCAGGTAAACGTTAAAGCAAGAGTCAAAAGATCAAATTGTTTCCAAGCAACTTAACTGCATCCAATATAAAGCTCAAGAATATTTTTAGGAATACTAAAATACAAAAGAAGAAGAAGTGGGGGGTGGGGAGGAAGAGTAGGAGGAGGAGGAGGGAAACCAATTCACAAAGGAAAATCCACAACCTCTGACTTCCAGTCAACAATAACTGGCCTGCGAACAAGACTTGCTTCAGCTTTTTTGAGAGGTGTTGTTACGGGTTGAATTGTGTCTCCCAAAAAGATATGGTGAAGTCCTAACCCCTAGAGAAACGAGAATCATCATTCAAAACCGGTCATTAATTAGCCGGGAATCTTGAGTAAGTCATGCTCTTCTTCAGGCCTCAACCAAGACCTGCAAATATTTCTGTCTGTGCTTATGTGCCTATTCCCTATTCAGAGTTCTAAAGGGGGGTCTACGAACCCCAAAAGTTGAGACCCTCTGCAGTAGATGATCTTTTTTTTTTTTTTTAAAGATTTTATTTATTTTATTTTTTCCCCCCAAAGCCCCAGTGGATAGTTGTGTGTCATAGCTGCACATCCTTCTAGTTGCTGTATGTGGGACTCGGCCTCAGGATGAATGGAGAAGTGGTGCCTCGATGCGCACCCGGGATCCGAACCCGGGCCGCCAGCATCGCAGCGCGCGCACTTAACCACCAAGCCACAGGGCCGGCCCTGCAGTAGATGATCTTTAATGTTCATTCATTCAACAAATATTTACTGAGGGCCTACTATGTGCCAAGCTCTGGAAATCCAATGATGACCAAGACAGAGACAAGATCCCTGAGATCTTATGGAGATTATATACCACAGAGGGAAACATACAACCAACACAGAGACAAACACTTTCATACAAGGATAACTTGTATTAAGGAAATAAAACAGGTGATATATAAGTGACTGGGAGGAGGCATGAACCTGTGGGCGTTCAGAAAAAATCTTTTTTCGGAGGTGTTGTTATAGGTGGAATCGTGTCCCCCAGAAAGATATGTTGAAGTTCTAACACCCACTACCTCAGAATGTGACCTTATTTGGAAATAGCGTCTTCGCAGATGTAATTAATTGAGATGAGGTCATGCCAGAGTAGGGTTAGCCCTCAAGCCAACAACACTGGTAACCTTATAAGAGGTGCCACACAAGAAGAAGACTGCTTAACAACAGAGGCCCAGATTGGAGGGATGAAGCTGCAAGCCAAAGAATGCTGAGGACTGACAGCCACCACCACAAGCTACCAAGGAGCAAGCAAGAGTCTACCCAGTCTCAAAGGGAGCATGGCCTTGCTGACACCTTGATTTCGCACTTCTAGCCTCCAGAACTGTGAGAGAATACATTTCTATTGTTTAAGCCACCCAGAACTTAACCCAGTTCGCGGTAGGGCAGCCCTAGGAAACTAATCCAGCTGTCTTTTGAACTGAGGCTTGAATGACGAGAAAAAGGCAACCATATTAAGATTTAGAGGGAAGAATGTTCCATGCAAGAGCAGGAAGAGAAAAAAACTGGCTGGAGAGTACAGATCCAGCGAGGTGAGACAGGAGATATGACTGGAAAGCTAGGCAGGAGTAGATCTTGTGGGACCATGCAGGGAGGGGAGGGAATTTGGATTCAATTAGCTTTGAGACATTTGTGTCTTTTGAGCGACAGAAACAGCTGTCAAGAGAGTCACCCAGCGTCTTAGAGGGCAGGAATCTAGGATGTACTAGCTGCAGTGAATAATAACGACAATGAAAGATGACAGGGCCCTCGCGCGCTTCCCCGCCCTGCCCGGCGACCTTGCTGGACGGTCAATGTCAGTTCTAGCATTTCAGGCCGTTGGCTTTGGCTCAGGTCAGGCAGTGCCAAGGCGTGGTGAGCTTTTACCTCCCCCAGATCTCTCTCCCTCCAGACCCGAGACACCCCAAACAAACACAATATAAGTAAAATATACTCTGCAAATACAGCTTGCGGACACGTTCCCCAGGCCCAACTAGAAGAGAGAGGTTCTGGAGGAGCAGAGGGACTCCCCAAAGCGCAGCAACCGACTCTGCCAAGACCTGCAAAGCTACAGCAGCCCCCTAGCCCGAGCTCGGCGCGCGGGGGCGGAGCCGGGGGAGGTGCGTGCGCATGCGCGGGGGCCAGCCTAGAGGCCAGGGGGCGGAGCCGGCGCCGGGGAGGGGGTGGTGACGTCAGGTGCGCGCGTGGCTCCCGCTGCGCAGGAACAGCTGGTGTCTCGGAAGGCGGCCCGGGCGCGCGCGGGAGTGGGGTGCTGGTGGCCGGCCGCGGCACGCTGCGGGAGCAGCCGCCGCCGCCTCGCCCCGCTGCACCATGTCCGGCCAGCTGGAGCGTTGCGAGCGCGAGTGGCACGAGCTGGAGGGAGAATTTCAGGAACTGCAGGTAGGGCCGGGCCACCTGGTCCCGCGACTCGGCTACCTGCGGTGCAGTGCCTTCCCCTTCCTGCTCTCCCAGCCCGGGCAATGGGGACCATCAGGGCGCAGGGAGTGCCCCTGGCCAGGCCCTGGGGGTTGGGGGCCCGCGTGGGCCAGCCCCCTCCCATCTCCCAGCACTTCAGTTCTACATCCACTTGGGGCGCCCGGCGGCATCCCCCCTTTCCCCGGCCCGCGCACTGGCTCGTTGCCGCGCGCGCCTCCTTCGCTGCAGAAAGTTGGTCTGGGGCCTCTGAGGGGAAGTGCCTGGCGTGCCCATGTGGGGGAGGCCTCAGGGGTCAGGTATGTGCTGGGACTCAAGGAGAACAGCCCAGCCCCCAGCTTCGCAGGAGTCTCCCCTGACCCCACCCCCGCCCACCGGCTTTTGGCTGCTCAACTTCCCCTCTCCTCTGGTGGGAGATCCCTCTCCTCTGCAGCTCCATTCTGGAAGATGTGCTTGGGAGCCGTTCACCTTGAACCCCTAGGCTTTGCTTAGGGATTAGGGACCCTGTTCTCCGTCTTTGGGGCTCTGGTGTCTGTGCCCGCCTCTCTGGCGCTGCTGCAGGCTGAGTTTGGCATTGTGGATGGCATCTGTCAGTTCTGACAGCTGGATTGCCTCCCTCAGCGCTAGAAGCTGCTCCCAGCCCTTCACCCTTCTGGGCCAGAGCCTTACGCAGGGTGGGGTGAGGGCGGGTGTAAGACAGGCCCTTTGAGAGAATGGCATTGCCTCTGGGAGGTCCTGGCAGGAGGAGTTGTTCCTGATGGGAGGCTCACAGAGGCCTCAACTACCTGCTCTGGTGACTAGAGACGCCTCACGAAACCTTGGGGTTGGCCAACAGGCACCCCTGGATCAGTTTTGGAGATGGGGCTGTTCCCTCTGGACCTACCAGACTCTGGAGTTGGGCTCTGTTTGCCTGAAATCACAGCACACACACCGCCCCCCATTCTATCCTCAGTTGGAGCAATGACATTTTTCCTGTCCATGTGGCTCTTGTCTGCAGTTGCTTGGCCTCTTACAATGCCCAAAGAAGGGGAGAGGAAATTGCCACGGGTGTCTGCAATGGGTCTTTCTAGACATGAGGCAGCAGGTCCTGATGAATAGAGAGAGGGGCTGGAGAGACAGAGCAGGAAGGTGGTGCTGTTTCGGGCATAAGCAGCGGGTAAGGTAACCAGAAGAGTATGCCTTTCTTCGCCTGTCCAGCGTGTGTGGGTTGGTGCCCTCTTTTTCAGGTCTAGGGCTTGGGTCCCACCCAGTTCCCAGGGGACCCTTCTGGCTCCACTCCCGTTGAGAAGACTCGGCCACTTCTTAACGCTTTGTCCTCCTGGGCTCTCAGGTCATGTCCAGCTGCGGAGCCATGGAGGGGTATTAGAGTGAAGAGTGGGAGAAGAGTTTTGCCGTGTGGAGCTTTTGTTGTTCATGATTCCTTTCCCTTGCCCTGGTTTAGACTAGGAGGAGGAGGAGGAATCTTAACACTTCAGAGCTATGCAATTAATAGCAATTAGATAGCTATTCTTGGCAGGTAGAGGTTGCGAAGGAGATCTTGGATTTGTTGTGTTTTTACTTGGTGTCTCTGGGGCTCACGTGTGTGAGGGACAGAGAGGAATTGGGAATTAATCCTGGATTTCATCCCTTGGTGCACAGCAAGGGTTGTAGAAGGGCTGACCGGGTGGAAACTGATGTCCCCTGCTCAGTTCTTCAGCAGTGGGGGAACTGGAATGGACTGGATCCTACTTTGGGGAAAATGGACCCTCTGGCCTCAGGCTTTCATGGGCAGCTGCTAGGTCAGAGGCCAATGGTGGATGGAAGGACACAGACCTCCCCTGGGGTCAAGGTCATAGACTAGAGCACAATTCATAGTCTTCAATTCGTAGACGGAAGCTTGGGCATGCTAATTGACTGAACTGGGCTCACACAGCTCTTTAGCGTCAAGTTGGGGCTAGAAACTTAGTTCTCTAAATGTTAGTTCAGAGGTGTATCGTTGTGTCGAGGGCCCCTCTGTCTCTTCTCACCCGCTGAGTCCCCATAATAAATGAGAGCTCTGAACTCCTGAAATGAACTCTGGAAATATGCATATAATAAGTAGGGTGTACGTTGTCATTGTGCATGTGTTGGACAGACTTTCAGACATGAGACATTTCTTTGGGAACCAGGAGGTCACAACAGGGAGGCGGGGTGGGCAGATTGGAACTAGAAAGGTTAACAACAAGAATGATTTTTTTTTCCACCAGAAAATCTCAGTCTGTCTTAATTTTCCTACATCTGCCTCAGAATCTAGAATTTTGGGTTTTAAGTTTCTATCTCTCTGATTCTGTCTTTCTTGGGGTAATATATAATCTCTGTGTTTTACCTCTCCTTCCCTTTTTCAAATGAAGGGAAGAAAGAAGAAACTTAATTCTCCGACTAGAGGATTTGAAAGGTCTTTGGAATTCCTCCCCACCTCCAAAAAGTCATAATCTCTGGGACTTTCTAGAGAAAAGGATCTGTTTTCTTTTGACTGTGATTTGCATTTGCCAGGGCCTCACTGGACTCAGGGGCAAGGTTGAATCACTATGGGACTTTGTTTTTGGCTGGTTGAGGTTTCGGTCTTGCTGGTGAATTGAGCGTCAGTCTGAGACCAGTGCGTGTTTGGCCTTGTGGCCTGTGGTGTGACCACAGAAGGTCACTTACAGTTATGGTGGCAGGTGACTTAATGTGCGTTTCCTGCCTTGCATCACTGGAAGCCTGACCTTGTCCCTCCTCACTCAGGAAGGAGGTGGCCCCAAGTGGCCTTTCCCTAAACCTGACCTCATGGAAACGCTGGGGCCTGGTAGGCCATTGTAAAGATTTAGGCCTTTACTACCAAAGAAACTGGCATCCCGCCCTCTGGTTACTGTGTATAGAATAGACATTGAGGGGCAGACAGGAAGCAAGACCATATTATTATTTCATTAAAACCCTATGAAATAGATCCTTTTATCCCCAGTTTACAGAGGGCAAAATCAATTATCCAAAGCCACATGGCTTGTAAGTGCTTGGAGTCAGGATTCAAACCCACATTGTTGAACACCAGAGTCTGTGTTCTTAACCACTACCCCAGGCAGGTCTGTGCTCTGGGGTCGTCTTTTGTGGGCTTTTGTTTTTCTTCTATCTTACGTTGCATTATGGGCCTCTTTCTTTAGAAGCGAGTTGTGTGGAATGACCCTGGACAGGGGGTTGGAATTCCTGGGTACAGGCCCCATCTCTGCCACTGTCTAGTATCTGACCTTAAGCAAGCCACCTCTCTGAGCTTGAGTTTCTTTATCTATGAAACAAAGGCTGACAGTAATAACAACAACAATAAGAGCTAACTGATACATGGAATGTCCCGTTTAATCTAAATGACATCCGTGCGTCATAGATGAGGAGAACGAGGCCAAGAGATGTTAAGTAACTTGAAAGTCATGGAGCCAGAATTTAAACCCAGGCCTGCTGTATAGGTCAGATACTTTTTGGGTTCCTAACACAGTGGACTCCAAAAGTATCCTGAGACCCTTAGCTCTAGAAGAGAACTTTTGAATTTGCGGGGTCTTATTTCATTTGTATGGTGCTTTAACACAATGCATTAGTCAGAATTCTTAGTTGCAAGTGACAGAAACCCAGTTTGACCGGCTTTGAGCTAAAAAAGGGGTTTATTGGTTCATGTATTGGGAAGTCCAGAGGCAAATGACTTCAGGCAAGGCTGGATCCAGGGGCTCCAGTGATGTCTCTGTGTGTCTCTCTGTCTCCTCTATGTCAGCTTCATTCTCAGGCACTCTCTCCCGTGTTGTGGCAAAGATGACCACTGGCAGCCCCAGGCTGACATCTACTAGCTTAGTAAACCTGGCAGAAACAGCATCTTTTTCCCTGTGATTCCAGCAGGAGTCCCAGGGCTGACTCTCATTGGCCTGACTTGGGTCATGTGATTATCCCTTACTTATCCAGTTACTTGCCACTGATTGGCTGGGCCTTGGTTACATGTCTACCCCCTAGATCCCAGGACTGGGATCAGTGCCACTTAAACCACATGAAATAAGAGTGGGGGAGGGGTGGTCCCATGAAGGAAAATCAAAATACTGATAGTAAAAAAACCAGAGAGGGATGCTGAACAGGCATCTTTTTGGGGGTAATAGAAACTGTTTAGGGGCCGGCCCCGTGGCATAGCAGTTAAGTGCGCGTGCTCTGCTGCTGGTGGCCCGGGTTCGGATTACGGGCGTGCACCTATGCACCGCTTGTCAGGCCATGCTGTGACAGCGTTCCACATAAAATGGAGGAAGATGGGCACAGATGTTAGCCCAGGGCCGGTCTTCCTCAGCAAAAAGAGGAGGATCAGCATGGATGTTAGCTCAGAGCTGATCTTCCTCACCAAAAAAAAAAAAAAAAAAAGAAAGAAACTGTTTATATCTGTAGTTCTCAAACTGTGTCAAGGTAGCCCCAAGGAGCTGCAGCAAGCTCACAGGGGCACTATGGGATAATTTACATTTTCAAGGGAAACACAATGACACCTGTCACACGTCGCTTAGATTACTAACCTGGGGTAGTTCACATTCTTTTTTGGTGATGTGATATCTTTGCGAAGTTGGGTTTTTAGTGGTCTCTGATTAAAGTCAAGTACTATGTGGAAATCAGTATGGAACGAGAAAGGAGAATGGCAGTATCCAATCTGATTCCAAGGCTTGAGAATTTGTGCAGAGCCCAACAGGCACGCACATGCCATTAGTAAATAATTTTGGTTGTTTCAGAATGAAATAAAAATATTTTTGTCAATTTCTGTGTATTCTTTTTCTCCAGAGGCTACTAAGTTGTTAGGACATAAATACTTTTCAATTATTTGACCTAAGGACCCCTTGCAAAGTTTACTGAGATGCTAAGGGCATGGTGAACCAACAAAGTTTGGGAAACTTTGGTTTATGTCCTGATTGTGGTGGTGGTTACGCGACTGTATATATTCGCCAGAATTCACTGAATTATACACC